GCTAGCGCTACGGCCATGTACCACAGCGGCCTTAATCCCTTGAAGGGCCTGCATCGCGACGGGCGCGTCGAGCGGGTGGATGTGGTGCGTGGCGAGCGTCGCCGTCGTTTGCACAAGGCCTTTTTGCGTTACCACGATCCGAATAACTGGCCCTTATTGCGCGAGGCGCTGCGCACGATGGGCCGTGCAGACTTGATCGGTAACGGCAAACAGCACCTGATACCTACTTATCAGCCGGCGGGCGATGGTGCTTACCGAAGCCCGCGCCGCAAAAATTCAAGCCCCGCTGCTCCGCAAAAGGGGCGGGCACTTACGCAGCATACAGGGCTGCCGCCGAAGCAGGCAAGATAGAGCCCCTATTTTTTCAGGCTGTCGCGAATCTCGCGCAAAAGCAGCACATCTTCCGGCGTAGGGGCAACGGTTGCATCGCTCTTGTGCAGGCGGTTCATAAATTTAACCATCTGAAAAATCACAAAGGCCAAAATAAGAAAGTTCAAGCAAGTCGTGAAAAAATTACCATAAGCAAACAGGGGCACGCCCGCTTTGCTCAGCTCCTCGTAAGTCATGGCACCCTTGTAGTCTGCGGGTGGATTGCTCAACATAATGAATAGATTGGAGAAATTGATGCCACCGGTCAGCTTGCCAATAATCGGCATCACCAGGTCTTTGACCAAAGAATCAACAATTTTGCCAAATGCGCCGCCAATAATCACGCCTACGGCCAAATCCATCACATTGCCTTTGAGTGCAAAGTCCCGAAATTCCTGCAACATACCCATCTGATACAACTCCAGTTAATTTAAAAATATAAGCGCATAAGCCCCAGGGGTGTACGCCGTAATCGGGCGTGAGTATGCCCGAATTGTCAAAATTGTGCAGGGCAGGGTGGTTTTAAAGACAAAATCACCATGTTGGGTCGGAAAAGTCGTTTGGGTGTCAGATACTCGGTTAGAATGCAGGGTTATCCAAAAACTAGACTTATCTCAAGGACTTTTATGAGTCAAGATCGCTCGCAAGCCAGTATCGATTCGAGCAAAAGAACCTGGATCATCACCTCGGCCTGTGCTGGCGCCGTAGGTGCAGGTTTTGCTGCGGTTCCTTTCGTTAGCTCCTTTGCCCCATCTGAGAAGGCCAAGGCCGCAGGTGCACCGGTGGAGGTGGATGTCTCTGGCCTTCAGCCTGGCGACATGCTGCGCGCTGAATGGCGTGGCAAGCCTGTTTGGGTGCTGTACCGAACGCCAGAAATGCTGGCCTCGCTTAAAAAGACCGACTCCCAGGTGGCCGACCCCAACTCCTTGCGCAACCCCAGCGAGTTCACGCCCATGGAGTCTTGCCGCAACGAGCAGCGCTCCATCAAGCCGGAATACCTGGTTGTTGTAGGCATTTGCACCCACCTGGGCTGCTCGCCTATTGATAAGCTCAAGCCCGGGCCCCAGCCTTCTTTGCCCGATGATTGGCAAGGCGGTTTCTTGTGCCCCTGCCATGGCTCTACATTCGATCTGGCGGGCCGTGTGTTTAAAAACAAACCGGCTCCCGATAATTTGGAGGTACCGGAATACACTTTCTTGTCGGACACCAAAATTCTGATCGGTGTCAGCGAAGCTCCCAAAGCGTAAGCGGCAGAAGATACAAGGACACTCATCATCATGGCTGAATTTAAAGAAATCTCTCCTAACGCCAGTCTGCTGGAAAAAGCCGGCAATTGGGTAGATAACCGCTTCCCGACTTTGCTGAGCGCTTACCGCGTGCACATGTCAGAGTACTTTGCGCCGAAAAACTTCAATTTTTGGTATATTTTTGGTT